GTTTTCTCTTTGATTCACGCGGTATAAAAATGGACACCCTTTCTATTATTATTTAAAAGGGAATTGTCCCTCGAATCATTTTTAAGGGTGACATTCTTTCATACTTAAAATCAGGAATAATTTCCGGTTTAATGCCTAAATTTATGATATTTTTTATGTCATTTTTTCCAGGGTTTTCTTCGCATTTCCAAAGAAATCTGTGCCCAAACCTGAACTGTCCTTGGAAAAAATTTACTTGATTTTTGGGCTCTATTTGTCAAAATTAATTCAACCCTAGATATTTCTCGATAAAGCTCATCAATTGATTGTATTTTAACACCCGGTCCAATTAGACCTGAGCATTGTGGATTTACTCTTTCAAGAATGATTTGTATCGTTTCCTGTTCAGAAATATCTCCAAAAATCTTTGAATTTTCAATTTGCTGGTCAACAAATTCTCTTGAGCTTTCTTTGCTGGACGTTGGGGAGAAATATGAAATTTATACAGGGAGTCCCTTAAGAGTTCAAAATTTATATTTTTTGTATTAGCTGCATTGTAAAGCAAATTACTAACTGATAATTACTAACTTTCGGCTATAACAAACAATTCCCAATATTAAAGGGCGATAACGATTAAGAAGTGGTCTTCTCGATCTCAAATTTCCTTGATGAGCGACTCAGCCCAACATTCCCTAGGACTATCAATGCCAGTCCAATAATAATTAAAGGCCATGTCTTTCATACAAATTCGCACAATTAAAGCGGGGAACACACTTATTCGATGCAACGCTATGTGAAACTGTCCAGATCATCAAGTACAGTCGAAGACAAAAGAACCGGACACTCATATTTTTATTCAAACTACATGTATTATTGTTGTTATACTAATTACAACATATTTATTTCATTATAAACCAAATTAAGCAAAAATTCATTATTTTTTATTTAAAAAATTAATTTTAATGGTTTGGCAGAAAATTGATCAAAACGCCGGAATACCATTTTTTGATATAATGAATTTAGTTAACAATCTATTACACGATTTAGCTCATAAAATTGCACCATTTTCCTCGAGTAGCGTCAGAACAGGACACTCATATTTTTATTCAAACTACATGTATTATTTCCGTTATATTAATTACAACATATTTATTTTAATATAAACCAACTTAAGCGAGATCAAAAATTAATTAATTTTTATTTAAACAAATTAATTTTAATGGTTTGGTAGAAAATTAATCAAAACACCAGAATACGATTTTTTAATATAATGAATTTAACTAACAATTTATTGTACTCGCTTCGGCGGTACATATACTAAAATTGGAACAATTTATTACACGGTTTTGCTCATAAAATTTAATTAAGAATTTATTTTTTAGTTTTGCTCGTAAAATTACACCATTTTGTAATGTCGGGTAGCATCAGAACAGGACACTCATATTTTTTGTAGTTTATTTCAAACTAACTACATGTAATTTTGCCGTTATATTAATTACAACATTCTTATTTTAGTGTAAACCAAATCAAACGAAATCAAAAATTCATAAATTTTTATAAAAATTATTTAGTTATGATGGTTAGGCAGAAAATTGATCGAAACTCCGGAATAACTTTATTTAAAACAATTAAGTTTAACTAACAATTTATTACAAGGTTTTGCTCAAAATAGTGCCGTAAGAACAAAAGAGGCGTTGAGATTGTGATACTGATTTGTGATATGCGCTGTGTGACTGTACGTGGCGGGCGCATGACATCTCATAGATGTGCACACCCTACCAAAACGAGAGATGGCGTCGGGTAGCACCGGGTAGCGTCGCATAGCGTTGCATCGGGGGTAAGTCTGTTCCCGGCTATAAAATCCTGGATAAGAAAACCTTGAGTTGAATCCATGATCCTAAATATCCCTGCTGTAGTCGTTGGAATTCTTTGTGTAGCGGTAATTTTCCTTACAGTCCTAGTGATACATCACTGACGTCATCCTTCCAGTATCACCATTGTCTAGGTGATGTTAATATGATGATGATGAGGATACTAGGCAATGCTGTGCTCCTCAGGCAATGCAGCCTTCTGACTTATTGTATCTTCTTATTTTCTAGTTCAGTGCAATCGATTCAACTCGTCTTCTCAGAAGTATTAGATCATTGACGTTGATAGAGTTTCATAACCATCTTCTTGAGAATTCCACTGAAGTACGTAAAGTTCCTGTTGATGCCATCCTTATCGTATTAGCATTGCTTATGTGGTCCTGGTAGAATTCCATATCTATCCTCTTCGTTATTTCATTGACGTAGGAAAAGTCGGTATTGATTGCTGTGTGATCGGGTTGTACAGGAATACATTTGCTTTATTCCATTAAACGTGCCATATTGCTTATTGACATCACTGCGGGTTGTCGAATACCCCCTATTCCAAAATATCATCTCACCCAATTTCCTAATGATATTGGTACTCTGTGAGAGGAGAGCTGGAAATTAATGGTAGGAAATGTAACGTGCATGAAGGAGAAGAAAATAAGGATAACTGAAAAATTGCAATTAGGAATTAGAATTGCAGGGGAAATTCCATGGACTTTGCTTCCCAGGGTAATACGTTCTGCTTCCTCGCTGGCTTGTTTCAGGCCCATGGCATCTGAGTTCATAAAAACGATATGAATCACCTCCTAACCTGAATTTATCCTTCTACCTTTTCTTTTTCCTGTTTCCTTTTACCTACTTTCTCTTTCTGCTTTTCTTTTGTAATATGGTTTCATCATTCGATTATAAATAATTTATATTTTAAAGAATATATTATTATCATTATTGTTTTGTATATTTTATTATGTTTTATTATTAGGACTTTCATCCCGAAGGGTTGTCACTCTCTGAAGTGCTGACCTTAGTGCCTATACATCAGGGAGTTCACCAACCCCGTTATGTGGCTGGGTCGCTAGTATCCCCTTTAAGCCAAATGCCCAGGAGATCGAGGCTTCCGTACCAACGGGGTTAGGCACCGACAGGGTATACCGACAGCTAGGTCATTTCAGCCCCAAACGCATGCAATCTATAACCTATACTAATACTATTTTAAATTGGATTGATCACTCGCACAAATAAATACATACATTACACTCATTCTGATTAGTCGTTGGAGTATTGGATATTCCTCCATCGACCTATACACAGTATTAATAATCTAACCTAAATTAGAGTCGATGAAGTACTTTTATAAATATTCTTCCGTCAACCTTAGAGACTGCTGGAAGGGCGTTAATGACATACATTTCTCTATTTTAAAAATGACATATATATTTCACCATCACCCCTCATCACTCGCCCTAATAAATACACGCATTCAAACAATACACATAATGACAAACACATAGAATATAGCTATGTACAGTAAACTACCCCCACGTCCTATAAAACAAGGAACAGGGGGACCCAGAAAACGACTGCTGTGCTCCCGAACCATTCTTAAATCCGGCGGCATGCATACACGCTCTCTGTATAGAACCAAGGCATGATATGCCTCTATTATGTAGGACACATCGAGCAACCATTCTCTTTTAAGGGACACCTGCGCGGCTTGAGCCCAAAAGCAGACGCCCTGTGTTAACCGCGTATGGCCAATTCTCAATCTGGTAAAGACGATCCCTCGGCTCCGGCTCAAGTTCTGTGAAGGCCATCTACCTGTCATGCTCTTGACTCGCAGAGCCTCTCAGATGACCCCGCCCACTGACGCTGCCATCTTTCTTTCATCATGTTTTTCATTGTGAGCTTAGCGTCAGGGGTCCTGATCGTAATGATCGGTATGTTTTATTATTATTGCTTTTATTATTATTTTACTATGTTAATAAAATTAAATTTCTTTCTAAGTTATGTACATGTAAGGAGGCTTTTTTTCTCTTTTTTGGCCTTGCCTATTTAGTTACACAGCCATATTTCTCTTCTTCTCTTTTATGTATTTTATTTCACTTTTATTTAGTATTCATATCTTGCTACTATTATTTTCATTTTATTAACTTTCTGTTTTGTTTCTTCTCATATATACACCCAAGGCGTTGACTATTTTTTTGTTTTCCACCCTGTCTGTGGGTAGGGGGATGCCATTATCCACTAGGGTTTTTATGAATTCCTCTCTTCCCTCCGAAGTGCGAGTACTGTAGAATATGATCGGCATTTGCCCATGTCTCGCTGTAGCATTCATATGCTGGGATTTGTCGCATGAATGTATGTCTGAATAATTTAGGGCGTAGGGAGGCTTAAAGCCCTATTTTACATTTTAATATAATAAATAAATAATATGTAGAGAAGAACTGAGAGAGATATACAGTTTTGAAGAAGTATTGCAGGTATAGTGGCCACTTATGGTTAACAAGTTATCCACTAGGTGTCAACACTGGACTCGCCTTCCATGCTGCAGACAATGATATGTACAAGCAAGTGCTCAACCGACTTACTTCGGAGTTAAGACTCGTCTGCGAGTTCTTAACTCTCATTAATGTAGCAAACCGCCAGCACTATCTACAGCAACAAGGGTACTCTCATCACCCGACGTGGCTGCCTGCAGCAGGAGTCCTTTCGCTCGCTATCGAGTCTACCGACTCCGGCTTTATCGATATCAGTACACGGACTTCAACCAACAGCTACACCCATAACACCGGTCCTTCGCAGGGCCACCAAAAACCACGGTCAGTAAACAGGAATGGCATCAGGACCCGCAGGACAATGAGTTTTTAAGAGAATTCTTTTGGAAAGAATTACACCGTAACGAAAAGAGATAACAGAAATGGGATTTGAAAAAGAGGAAGACTGAGATGTAATATCGAGTGAAATTTTATTATAGAGAACTTCCATAGAGATATAGCGCAATCATTTTTTATTTTTTCTCAGGTTCTTTAACAAACTAATGCTTTTTACAATTGTGTCAAATAATTATTTAGATTTGCTTCTATGTTTTCTTTTCAATTTGACAATTCATTAGCGGTAGACAAAACTGAACTTCACCAAATTCTCATCCAGTGACGCTAGTGGTATGAGTACCTGCAGAGTCTGTCAGGTCGAGCCCCGACACAATCGATAGCCGGTATGACTTGTGACCTGTTAAAGCTTGCGTGGTTAAATTTCTAACGTTTTTCACTTTGCCGATTCGTTTTATTCAAATTAATTTCAAAATTTAACTTTATAGTATCATTTCCGAGTTGTAAAATGCTTCGTGACAGCCTCATGCCAGTGCTCCGCGTTGCTGCTTAGTCGAGATTATTATCCTCCAGCGGATAATCTAATTCTCCGGTTAAAAGAGAGATCCTTTTGGACAGTTTAATTTTTTTTTTCTTTCGGACATAAAAAGGAATAAGAGCTGAAATGATAGAAAGAAACGTAATCGTTCTTGCTGTGTACTTAATTGTTCCTATAATATGCACAGATATATTGCCATCGTTGCCCAAAGGGGTCCCAGTGTCAAGTAAGAAAACGTATTTTAAATAAATATATTGTCTCATTTCATTGTCATTTTTAATGGTTTACAGCTTATACTATCAGTCATGTACGACGAACTGGCCAAATTTCAGAATTTGTATACTATGGAACTACATTTTGTTTTTTACCATAATCATTTTCAACATTTTGTTGCAAGATCCTAATTTTATTTGTGTTGAAAACGTAAACAATTAGGTGTGAGCTTTTCTCTGGGGTATTGTATTAAATATTAAATTAAATCATAATTGCATCGTTGCACCCTGAGCAGGCGTGTAGGGATGGTGATATGGAAATTGTGCTTGAGCATGTTGGAAAGTGTTTGGGTCACCTGTTTTGATTGTTGGAGGAAGCAGGGTTGTTTTATTATATGTAGTACTATAGTTTTGTGTTTGGGACTCTCACCGCATTATTTGTGGTTTACACGGTGGACTCATAAGCGATTTGGCATGTGTTTGTAGTGATTCAAGATAATGGTGACATTGCCTGGGCTGACTCCCTTAGTGTGGTTGCTGCTATTTGTGATAGTTTCTCCATGATGGTCCTGTTGAAAAGATACCATAAACTGAAAGGTTTCAGCAAAATGGTGGTGTTTGTCTGGGTCCCCTGATACATAGGCTCAGATGAGGCGGCTAAGGCCCGGGACGACCTCCAGACATGATCCAGCCCTCTGACACTAAAAATATAAAGAACATGATTAAAAGAAAGTGGCAGCATAAATGGGCTAAAACAGCTCTCACATATCAGGAGCATTGTCGATATATGGCCCTCGGAAGAAATGACTCGTAGGAGTGGGATCATCCGATTAAGAATAGGCCAAGCGAGGTTTGCACACAGACACTTATGTTTGTGCCAAAACCCGGGTATGTGTCCAACATGTAGAGAAAGGTTGCTTGATGTGTCCCATGTAATTAAAGGGTGAAATTCCTTGACTCCATATAGAGAGCATGTAGGAATGCTCCCCCCCTGATATGACAATTGTGCTTGAGCAGAACAGCAAGTATTAGGATCAACTGTTCTGGTTCCTGGAGGAAGCAGGGTTGTTTTATTGTATATTATACTGATAGTTTTTTTCTCCTGGTGAGTGTTGAAAGTGAATGTATTTATTGGCGTGATTGTGTAGTGTGAGAGGGCCAATGACAAAATATTGAGTTCCCAATCGACTCTCAATTAGAATAATTATGTAATATCTGTGGAAGGTGATCAAGTAATCCACTACCATGTTTGAATGGTATGTAAATAGGAAAGAATGTATTTAAGAGTGTGAGACGGTTTACCTCGGAGGCTGGATGAATAAAACTGAGGTATGACTCTGGACTGCCAACACCCGGGGTTGTTGATTCTCGAGACCTGCCAGTAATTTTTTATAAATTACAAAAGCTGGAATTGCCAGTGGATTGCAAGAAGTGATAGTCTAACTCTGCACACGTGCATGTGTGTGAACAGTAATGTGCAGATTTGAGCTTATAAAAATTGGCGATCAGTAAATAAAATAAAGTCATATCTAGAAAAACTAAATTATTATAAAGTTTTTTTGTTTTGTTTTTTTGACAGTTTATTGTATTTTTTTAGGCATTGGTACTTTAATTTACGTCATAGTGCTTTTTGCAACCTTTATTTCACATTAGGAAGGTCTTTTTTAATTCCTAAGCCAATTTATTTCATTTTTTCTCCTATTATTCATATACATTCTATTTATTATAACTTTTTGGGCAGTTTATTTATTTTATTTTGCATTGGTGCTTTATTGAACTTCACAACGCTTTTACTGCCTTTATTTGACATTAGAAAAATCTTTTTGAGCTCCTCTGATCACCTCATACTATTTATCAGTAATTCACCCTGATCAGAACCATCATGCTGTCAAGTGTTGGAGGTCGTTAATATACTCTTCCATCCGTTTAGTAATAATGTACCTGTTTCTTTTTACTACAATAGCTCCTAATTACCTGTAACTAATGTAGAAAAACAGTTAATTTAATTTTAAACAAAATAAGTTAGGAGGTTAAATTCATGCATTAGTGTGGATTATACAGTACTGTAGTAGTATTTTACAAGATGTCCTTTTTAGATGGCCTGGCTGAATATCTGTTGAACAGATAATGCTATCCAAAAAACAAAAAATACACATTTAATAACAGGGTACCATAGGACAGTCCTACTTTAAAATATCAAATTGAACTGTATACCTTCCATCACCTCATTTGAAAGGATTTTTTACGCTGAAATCAATGCTGTAGTTCGATTTTCAATTTGTCAAAAAAAAAAAAAAGTTAAATAAAAAATGAAATTATAAATATAAAGTTATTGAACAAAGTTTGGATAAACTCATGGGATCAACTTCCTACTACCATTGAAATGCTAAAATGCTAAAGGGAGCTTTATTGGAGGAGTGAACAACATACTCCAGGATTTTGATCAGTTGCACAATTTTGTCTACCTAGCACAAACTCCTATAAGCAGAGATCATATGTATCTCAATGATATATTATTAAAGTTTTTTAATAAATTAATTTTTGTTTCAGAACTGCCTCTTTATGATCCTCTTAAAGACTTCACATGTTTAGATGGTTTATTTACGGTGCCATTTAGTTACGTAAATGACGACTACTGTGACTGCCAAGATGGTTCCGATGAACCAGGCACATCAGCTTGCCCTTCGGGCTTATTCTATTGCGCAAATAAAGGCTTCACACCTTTGACTGTTCCATCGTCGAGAGTTAATGACGGGTTTTGTGGTAAGTTATGCATATTTATTAATGCATTATTACTTCACTTATAAATTTTTTACGATGGTTTTAGATTGTTGTGACGCTTCGGATGAGTATCTTACTAATAATTGTACTGATAATTGTGAGGAGTTGGGAAGAGCGGCTAAGGAAGCTGCAGGAAAGCAAGCGAAACTTGCAGAACAAGGAAACCTTCTTCGCCTTCAATTTGTTGCCACTGCAAAGAGAACTAAATTAGTGAAACAGGTTACAATTTTAATCGAAAATTTTGATTAAAAAGTATATTACTTTGGAAATTATTTGAAAGAAAATGTGGTAAAATTAATGAACCGAATTATGCGATTCATATGGTCATATACAAAAATATATTGATTTCTAGTTTTTACTATATATGAAGCACTTTTTTAAAATTGAGCTACAATTTTCAATTTTTTTTTCCTAAAGAGTTACTTGGTATTGAACTTATAAAAATTTTTAAAAACTCCATTTGAATACCAATATTGTTTGCTCAGTTAGGTATCAAATTATACTAAAGTAACAACATATAACCTAAATCTAGTGTAGCTAAATTAAAATATTTTTTCCTTAATTCTTTTCCAATTTTCATTGCAAACCAACTTATTTCATTATATTCAGGAGAGAGTAGCAGCATTAGAATCTGAAAAAATTGAAGCACAGAAACTGAAGGATGAGACTGAACAAGCTAAACTAAATGCCGAGACAGCTGAAAATGCTGCTTTGGAAGTTTACCGTCAAAGAGAAGAGGCTATCAAGAAGGAAAAGGCTGAACAAGAAGAGGAATTAAAAAGAAAAGAAGCGCAGGAAGCATTTGATATGCTAGATTCCAATAAAGATAACATGTAAAGAATAATTATTAGCCATATTTTTCCCCAATTGTATTAACATAACCAAATATTTCTTAATTTAATAGACTACAAATTGAAGAGATGAAACCAAGACAGATATTTGATCAAAACAAAGATAGTGAAGTGTCAGAAGAAGAAATCAAGGTATGGAGAACTGTTTTATTAATGTGTGTCTGCAATTTTAGTGATTAGATTTTGTCTGAAATCTCTATTAATTTGACATATCTCAATATTGAAGAACAAAATTTTAAAAGTCATGCTTCACACTCGCTTTCTCTGCTCCATGAAAAAACTTAAACTCGTGGATGTAACTGAAACCCTACTTAATCCAGCCCATGTGCACTCCCTTGTATGCAAAAATGGTCATGCAAAGAAAAACAGGTGCATCCTGGCCAAAAATAAATAAACTAAAAATAACTAGCCTTGCCTATCGAAAAGTTTGAATTGAATTTTCATTTATCTAGGTTTGTTATGTTGCAAAAACAAAAGTGACAGGTTGCTGTGGTTTGTCATTCAAAAACTCATTCATAGATGGTATTAAGAAAGCAGCATCTGCTTATCTAGAACTAGAACCTTCTATCAATCATGTATTTAATGATAGCAACATCATTGACAGCAAACACCCTAACCATACCAAATCCATCACACTCCTTCGTTACACAAAATCAACGCCTTCTGTACTGCCTAGGTCTTAGAAAGCTCACATTTAAAACAAGACCTACCCATGACCTACGAATGAAGTCTTATGATAATGATCCACCCTAACCCTGCATAACCCAACCCAGTTATTGACCACAACCACCAAAATTGACACGTGCACCATCTAGGCCTTAGAAATTTCCAATAACCCCTTGCCTTACAAGTTTTTACTGAAGTATGTCCCAAAAATCACCCATTTTTTAATGACAGATTTATATACTTATGACATGTAAAAGTTAGTTCTTCACATTTTGTAAAATTAGCTTTTATTTATGTACCAAATTGGCATCTAAAAAAGGTCACATTTGGCCCAAAATAAATACAACAAAATGATTACATTAAAACATTCCTTTAGTTATTAGTAGCCAACATTGTGTTTGATAATATCTACTGGCGGTAGGTTGTACTAAAAGAGCTGTGTGTGTAATTGTGAGAACTACAACGAAACTAGCCAGGATAAAACCCAGAGGTAAGAAAAAATTGGCCCCAGTTAACTTGGGATAATAAATGAAAATTATCTCATGATAGGCATGCAGGGGATTAAGGACTAGAAACATGGCCTTCTATGAATATAGTTTGTAGTGATAACTAACATCCTAACTTAAACTAACCCATCTATAACCTAGCCCATCTCTAGCCTTAAATCTACCTAACCTAGTCCACCTCATAAACACTCCTCAGTTGCATAAAACCTACATCTCCACTGTCTAGGCCTTAGAAAACTCCATGGCCTTTTACAAATCTGTAATAATATCAAACCCTTAACCTCAACCTACCTAACCTAGCTGATCCTTAACCTTACCCTACCTAACCTAACCCTAACCCTAACCCAACCGTTGCACACTCCCCGGTTACACAAAATCGATGCCTTCTGTGTTGCTGGGCCTTGGAAAACTCCCATTAAGAACTAGAAACCCATGGCCTTTTACAAATGAAGGCTGTAATAATATTGAACACTCACCCTTATCTTTAACTTATCCTAACCCAACCCATCCTTAACCTTAACATTTACCTAACCTAACCTAGTTTGTCTCTAGCCCTAACCCTACCAAAACACACTCCCTTTATAAGCAACATTATTACATTCTGCAATGCCTAGGGCTTCCAGTAACTCCCATTAACCATTCCCTATGCACATGAGAATACTCGGACAGTACAGGCTGGTGGGGGGGGGTTACTTGCCTCCAGAGTTTATTCATTGTTGTTGTTCCATTCTTTCCTAACTATACCTGAATATGTTTGGTTTCTGATTTTGCAATAGGTGGTGCATGTTAGAGCAGGGGGTCGAAACATTGCCTGCTACCTACCTGAAATTAACTTCAAATATCAAATAGGCAAGGGTTTTTCTACCCAAAACCTGGAGTTGCCCTCCTACCAGCAATTAAATTAATTACAGATAATGATATTTTTCATGTTATTTACTTTAGCTTTGATAGGTTTTCTTATTTATTTGTTGGTGGGATATATTTTTGTTACACCCTACTCCACTTTAGTTTCTCTTTCAGTTTAAAGGTACATAGTTTGTTTAAAAAACAATTTGAATTCATTCCTTATGATCAGGCATCATGGTATTTTGCTCAAATTGCCATAAGTAAGCACATTCAACAGAAAATAAGTCTAATAAAAGTGTAACTTTCTGTGTAAAGGTAAAAGTGGGGTTGGCCTGTTGATCTGGCACTGGGTCGTCTACACTCGCGGGTTTAACATGTTTCTGTGATTATTTCAATTAATTACTAAAACTAATCACTACTAAATAATTTTTAGTTTTTCCTGGGAGATGACAAAACAGAGGCTGATTTTGAATACTTCATTAGCACAGTTTGGCCCCGACTTAAACCGCTGTATATGCTTGAAAAAGGAATATTTGTGCCACCAAGTGCTGCTCAGGTATGTGCAATTGTTCAAGTTTTATGTTTAATCATAGTGTGTGGATCATTACATTGACAAATTATATGAACTTGATCTGGTTATTTAAGAAGGAAGGAGAGGAGGAAGTCCTTGAAGAACCTCCTATGCCTGACGAACAGAACCTTGAAGAAGAAGAAGAAGCTGAAATGGGGGATGAAGAAAGAGAAGAGGTGACTAGATTTTTTTTTCAAAAAAGTTGTGATTTATTGAGTAAAATAATCAAAACTTCATTGTTGCAATAGACCAGAAACAAATACACAATGGTCTGTCAGTCAGCTCGGTTCATGGCATTTTCTCAGCCCCATATTACTGAGACTACAAAAAAATTATACCAGCTCTTCCTTTTGCCTACTTACTTCTTATCCTCCCAAGATTTTTTTTTAAATAGTTCACTATTTTTTCTATTGAATTTATATAAATATATTGCAATTCCTTCATTTTCAAAGACACCTTTGTCCATTTAATTCTACTATTTATTTATTACCTTGTAAAAAAATGCTCACACTGGGATCCTTCACATAATAGTTACAGACTGCCCTGAATATGTTTTTTTTTTTTTTTTTTTTTTTTCCATCTGAAGCCGCACCTTATGGAAGAAGGACTGATATCTTGGCAGGATGTAAGAATCCTTTGCTTCAGCCTTTCTTGTGAAGACACAAGATTGAAATTTTTGTCAATTTCTTTTATTTTATTTTCCACATAAAAAGTAGTCTACGGTTATCAAGGCGAAAATGTGAGCTGACCCTTAAGATCAGCTTCCTATTTCAGTCCATGAATCTCAGTTGTTTTATTCGATTAATATTTATTGAAATATTATTTCCTGTAACTAATGTAATTATTTTTAAAAATTGTTCCAGAACTGGGAAAAAGAGCAAGAAGATAATGATATGGCCACTACTGAACAAGAACATGAGTCAGATGAAGTTAATATCGAACTTGAATATGATGAAAATACTAAAGGCCTTATTGAAGGTACAGAAACTCCTGCTTTGCATATGCATGCTATGTCCTAACCTAATCATCCCTAACCCTGTATAATCTAACCCATCTCCTAATTACACCTAACCTAATCCCTCCTAACCCTAACCTAACATTATCTTAATCTAGCTCGTCCCTAAACAAAAAAACTACTTATTCTAACCAGTCCCACTCCCATCCTACCTCACTTAACCAAACCCATTCCTAATCTTATTCCTACTTATATTAACCAAACCCATTTCTAATCTTAATCCTACCTAACCTAATCAGTTCCTAACCTAACACGTTCCTAACCTCACCTGTCCCTTCCCTAAACCCTAACTGACCTAAATCTTTCATAAACTTAACCCTACCTAACTTACCTCTATCCAATCTTAACTCCTCCAAACCTACCCTGTTCCTAATGTTAACACTACCTAACCCAATCCAACCCTATCTTTAACCCTCCCTAACCCAAAACTACTGAACCTAACCCATACCTAACTCTAATGCTTATCTAACCAATCCTGTTCTTAATCTCCTCTCCCCCCTTAAGGGATTTTATCTTTTCTTAACCTTTCCTAACATAACTCATTCATCACCTTAACTTTAACGCTACCTAACCTATCCCTTCCCTCATTGTAACCCTCCCTATCTTAACCTAACCAACATCCCTTCCCCTATCTTGGCCTTACAGTATAGTTTTGATTCAAAAACCAATTATTTTATTGCAAAAATTCAATTGTTACTGCCAAGCCTTCGACCTATTGTAATCCTCTCAGGGCAAAACAATCTTAAATATGTCTACTAATTGGCATAATTAAATTTTTACAGACACTTTCAAATTTCTTTAAAGACTCAGTCCCAACATTGCCATGTAACAGTAATGTTTTTAGATTAAGAAGCACCCCCAATCATGACCACAACTATGATCACTATGTCATTACAATTACAACAGTTGGTTGATCTTATCAAGAATTTATAAATCAGCTGAGGTTCTAACATATTCATCATGGCCTTTTTCAACAACATTGTGCAACAGTATGGACCTGAAGCAAAAAGCCCTGAGGATGACTTCAAATAAGAAGTCGAAAACTTGGTAGAACTGTTTTTGGATTAAGTAGCACTTCCTAACCTTGACCTCAATCTCGATCACTACATCACTACAAGGGAAGGGTTATGTTAGGTAGGGTTACGATCAGGGCTAGGGACAAGTTAGGTAAGTCAAGTAGGGTAAGATATGTTAAATTATTTTGAGTTAATGTATTGACCATTTTTCTACTCACAAATACTCTGGATCACGGTATGGCCTTGATGAAAAAGGAAATGAATAGTTACTGCCATGCTTTCGATCTATTTTAATATCATCAATTACAACTGTTGGTAGATCCTATCAAGAATTCATAACCCTTCCCTATTCTGATCCCTCGGAACCTAACTTAACTCTTCTCTAATGGTAGGTAACCCTACCTAACCTACCTCTTCCTTAACCTAACCATACCTAACTTCTCCCTTCCCTAGTCTTAACCCACCCTAACCCAACCCATACCTAATATTTACCCTATGTAGCATATCCCTAACAACATAACCCATTAAAAATATGCATCCAGCCCAAAACTATATCTTATGTTAAAATTTGAATAGACTTTTCATTTATCTGGGTTTGTCATGTTGTATGGAAAAAAATAAAATTGATAGGTTGTTGTGGTTCACTAGTGATATCATCAACTTGTCTATTGGCTAGCATTGCAATAGCTGTACACTTCATATTGCCCTCTGCACTATCTAGGCCTTAGAGAAACTCCCTTTAAGGATTAGAAACCCATTGCCTTCTATCTATGTTGATGAACATTAACATTGCCCTAATCCTAATCCCTAACCAAAACCCAAACCTGTTTCAAATCTAACCTGACTTAACACATGTGCACTCCCCAGTTACGCAAAATTGACTATGCGAAACTGGTCACACAAATAAATAAATAAAATTGTGTCCAGCCACAAAAAACATCGATGTTAAACAACAGCTCAGTTTGTTACTTTATTTCTCTTTGTTGATACTCCTTAATAATTCCTTAGCACAATTCACATGTTGGTTGCAAGTTATTTATTTCCAATTTCTTACATTTTGATTACAGAAGCAAACTACGCTCGAGCTCAATTTGAAAATGCTCAAAAAGCCCTGAGGGAAATAGAACAAGAGCTTAATCAACTTAAAGAAGTTTTGGCAAAAGATTATGGTTTGGAAGATGAATTTGCTCCATTGGAAGGGCAATGCTTCTCGTATACTGATAGAGAATACACCTATAAGCTTTGCCCATTTGATCACGTAAGTAAAATGAAATTACTCTACTATTTATATTTAGAATTGGAAGCGCTCACTATTCATTTAAACTTAAAACAAATACACTAATGGACAAATTTAACACATCACTCAATTTATTTAGTTCAAAATTAAATCCATTATCTTTCTACATTAGTTACAGGTAATTAGGAGCTATCGTAGTTCAAATAAACAGTAAATAATGCTTTGTTTACTTTCTTTATTTACTTTATTACTGATTAATACCATATGCACAAAAAGTAGCATTATGTACTATCATTCTGTCACCCCTAAAGATCGGTTTGAGTTAATCTTTTTCCTTCATTGATTTTATTTGATATTATTCTTATTCTTAAACAGTCAGGCATTTTGATGAGTAAGACAGTGTCAGATTCATAACAATATTAGAGGAAGGATACAGCCTCCATGAAATTGCCAGGAGACTGAGTGTAAATCACTCTACAATAGGAAGGGTTCTTCAGCACTTTCACACAAGAAAGCCAGAACAGGTCAACCTAGATCTACAGACAAAAGAGATGATAGATTCATGCACAGGCTGTAGACACTGCAGCTTTACTGGAAATTAGATAAGAAAAGTCCGAAATTTCCCACAGCTCAGAAAATGGCTAGTCTTCAATTCGCACAGAAACATGTGAATTGGATCGCGGAAGATTGGGGACAAGTTCTGTTGATAGATGAGGTGAGAGTTGGCCTCAAATCTTCAGATGGGCGTAATTTCATATGGAGATGCTCAGGAGAAATGTACGCCCCATGCTGTACAGTACCTCAGGTGACATTCCACAGTGGGTCATTAATGTTCTAGGGTGGCATTTTCTTGGACCGAATTGATTGTTGTGCAAGGAAGATATCTAACTTCGCAGAGGTACTTGCAAGACAATTGAAGAACAAATAGTTCCATTTGCCCTCCACAGCAGTGAGAGATTCTTCCCCAATGCAGGATAATGTCAGGCCCCAAGGCGTATGTATTGTGGATGACTACCTGAATGAGGTTGAAATTGAACGCTTGGTATGGCCAGCTCAAAATCCAGATTTGAACCCAATTGAACACATTTGGGCCAACTTAAGCAACGAGTATGAATAGTTCTTTGAGATTTTTATTTGTTTTCGATTTTTTAAAATGTCTTATTTTTACAAGCAAACCTGTTTTTAGTATGCAAAATATGAAACCTAAATTCATTCAACTTTAAGGGTGGCATTATTTTTTAAAATTGATACGTGAGTAGCTAACGCTATTTATAGAAAACAAATAATTAAAATCCTGTATAAACAAAAGCAAGCAACCTGTTACTCCATTATATAAAAAATAATAAATGTTTGTTTAAACTATGGTTAAATAATAAAAAAAATTCTGGATACGTCTAGATGATATTAGGTAAATGGTTTATTTAGCTCAAACTGCCACATGCACGGAATTTGGATTTTGGCAGTCTGGGGTCAGACCTCAGTTTTATCTGAAGTTCTCATATTTACACATTATTCACTCATAGAGCAAAATAATAACACCCTTAAATTAATTGGAAAATGTCGAGCAACATTTATCTACATGCAGGACATATACACGTGCTTTAGCCTAAAATTATGTTGTCTGTGCATATGGCTCACTCATATGGCCTAGTCGATTGAGTCTTCATGTTCAATTCTGATGCTCCAGAGGCTAGCGACTTGACTGCCGATCCGGCCCTTTGAAGCTCCCACTTCCTTTTAATCGTGGTTTTTTTTTTCCCCCCTCAGAGGGCTGGATCATGGTGGCCAGGTCAAGAGGATCAGATATCCTAAGCCTTAGGCACTTTGCCCTTTTCACTACCCCCATACCCATGTGCCCAGCAAGAACTAGCACTGAAATACTCCAATAATTAATTATGTATTTTATCCAAAAAGTTTCAACCAAGACCATACATAAAAAGAATAATTAATTGAAATAATTTACATGGTCCATTAGACTAATAAACATAAATGAATTAATATATAATAAGTAAAGAAGTATCACTTCACCAACATCCCCTCATGCCCATTTCATAAGTTGCTGAGAATCAAATCCTGATTACACGTCATTTGAAAAATGGCAAAAAGAGAGAAAAGTCGAAAGGTTGTAGGTTGATATGGGGAGTTGTGTCCGGGTGGATCAAGATCACGATAGTGGTTAGAGCAGCGGCATATTGAGCTGAAAGTCATGGGTTCAAATCCCAATCGTGACACTAATTTTTTCATCTCAACCAAGACCTTACATAAAAATAATAGTTAATTGAAATAATTAATCAAAAACAAGCTTTCAAATTATTATATACATATTTATTTATTTATTTGTTATATTGTTTGATTTTTAGGTACTTCAGTCAAGTAAATCTAGCAATGCAGAAACAAAGCTTGGCGTATGGGCAGGCTGGGCCGAGCAAGGGTCTTACGATGTTATGCTTTATACAAAAGGGCTTGGTTGTTGGAATGGACCACAAAGATCAGCCAAGGTAAGGATTCACTAATTTTAATTAAAATGGCTTATCATTTGCTATTCTTGTCATAGTGTGACAAAAGTTAATTCTATTCATTTCGTTTGCCTTTGTTTCTTTTCTTTCATTATTCTGTCCGTCCAGTGCATTCTCTTTTATTTATCTACCTTAAAAGTACTCAGAAGAAATGCAGTTATTATTGATTTAGCCTAATTCGGGCAGATGGTTTAAAACAATTTATTTATGCTTACAGGTGCTCGTCTCGTGCGGACTCGAGAATGCATTGGTAGGCGCTTCAGAGCCAAATAAATGTGAATACTTGTTGAAATTTCAAACCCCAGCAGCTTGTAGACCACTGGAGAAATTATCACACGATGAATTATAATGTGCTTCACTTATAAAACATCTCACGGACAATTCTGGTCAATTTTGTACCCACTTCAAAATGGTATTAAGGCGGCATTTAATTTTTTTTTTTAATCAGTTTGAATTGTAAAAATTTTCTAGCAGTGGATATAAAAAACAATTGTTAGTTGAACTTTTTTTTAATGTCAGTATGAACCCAGATGTTTAAACATTTTTTTTTATTAGTCATACTCTTTGATAAGGATGAATGTGTCAAGAATTATAATGCATTAGTATTTGAAACTTGATCAGTATATTTGATAGATAAGACTAAAATTATTGTTGTTGATGAATGATTTATTCTTTTCATTCCATTATAAAATCATCATGTCATTTACAAAAATATAAAGATTGATTGTAAATAACTTATTTTTTAAAACAAGTACAATAAATACAGGTTTTGGTGGTACTGTTGATGTATGATAAATCAAAAGACCAAAGATATATAACATTTTCCAATAACTGCTTTGACTTTTTGAATATCTTAACTTGTGGCCAAAATCCTTATTAACATAATTATTCTTACTTCCTGCTATTTGAATTATTCCGTGAATTTTTTTGCTAAATTTCAAAGCTTTTTTCTGAATTTCAGGGATTTAAATAATTCACCAGTTCACTCTTAAATTTTCAATTGACATTCTATAAGTGTTCAGGAAAATTATAATTACTTTTCCAAAGTACAAATAACTTTCAGATGGGGCTTATGATGTAATACACTTTTGACAGGGTGATGGAAGGATTTCTTTTAACAACAAATAAAAATGTGTTGATAAAATGCAAATATTTGTTCAGTTTATATTGATAATATAAAAAAATTAAATATCTTCTGAGTGATAAGCATATTTTAATAACTGTCTGATTGAAATATTGTTCGGGGTGTGTGGATAGACACGTCGGCCCGGCACACAGTGTAGCCAAAACACAATAAAGCAGAAAAAATTCACTATGCAACCCAAATTTGGTATGTGTAGGTTTTTTGCAATGAATTCAATGAAACTTTTGTCAAATCGATTGTCCAAAATTGCAATCCAAAAACCAAAAATGGATCAAATATCACCACCAGTAATCATATGTGTATTATTTTTTTTTTTTTTTTTTTTTTTTTTTTTTTTTTTTTTTTTTTTTAAATATATGCTGAATTTAATGAAATTATTCTCGAATCGATTGGACAACAGCAAACAGTGCAAAATCCAAAAATGAAATATCTCCAATAATCACATCATGGGTATCATCAAAATTGTGGATGGTAGACTACAGACGTTGCAAAAAATAATCAGGCATATTGACTCAGATGGGCTCACTCACATTTATTCACAGTGAAGATTCCAAAAAAGAATCTTCTGATGATGGTCAACTCTGTGTCTAGCACGACTGTTGTGGGTAGTGGGGAATCAAAGTTCAATTCTGGAGGCAGGAAGCCCTCCAGGAGGAAGGAGCTTGAGAAATGGCTACCACATCCAAGGAAGGCAGCAAGCACGAACTAAATCCTTTAACAAAAACCTGTTGGAGGGCAAGTCTGGTGGGTGCAGCCGAGGTAATTCCAGCTACAATAGCATATATTAAAGTTGTTGCGGTTAAAAAGCTTGGAGTTCTATGTCGCAGTCTGTACACCGTTTGTCAATGACACTGGCATATGCTTATGACAATTTATATTTCAAATGCCTCACTTGTCAACTGCTGATGGTAGACTGTGTCTACCATGGCTGTTACCAGGTAGCAAGAAATCGGGGTTCGATTCCGGCGAGGAGGAAGCCTGAGAAATGGCTACCACATCCAAGGAAGGCAGCAGGCACGCAAATTACCCACTCCTGGCTCACAGAGGCCTTGGAATCGAAATGACCTCAATCTATTCCCAAACACAATAGATGAGATTCCCAAGAATCAGATCAGAGTGGAGCCCAGGACAAAGGCATGCGAAAAAGTTCATCAAAGGATCATTGCACAAACTGACGGCAGAACTACTAAATGTAGGATGAATTAGGACTAGAACAATAGTAGGACTGCTAGCTGTACACTGCAGACTCAGAGGATGCATAGAGTTGGAGCAGCAGAAACATGCCTAGCAGATAATGCCCGGAAGAAGAAGAGACAGCAGAACATGTCCTCTGTTGGTGGGAAGGCTTATGTAGGTTGAGAGTCTTACTCCTGGGAGCGGAAATACCTAGGCCTGAAGGATACACACGGGAGTGCATGAAAAAGCTTTGGGATCGGGTAAAATGCCTTAATGAGTAGCTCTAAGACAACAGTGGAGATGCACAGTAAACCAATACTGGTTGCAGAGTGCAGGTTGTATAGAGGCCAGCATTTACTCTAATCTTAATCTTAATCTTAATGATTACAGAATCAGTTTTACATTTTAATACATCATTAAAAATACAAGTTTTGTACAATAAAAATATAAGTTTTGTAGAGTGTAAGTATGTGACAAGACTAGTAGAAAATGGAAAAGGACAAATTATAAAAATCAGGACTCAATTAGCGATAATGTATGGATGCATCAATCATTAGAGCATCTCAAAGCCTACCAGTAATTTATTATAAACTACAAAAGCTGGAATTGCCAGTGGACTACGAGAAATGATACGTTTTGCACGTGTATGAATGTACATATTTGAGCTTTACCAATCAATAATCAGTAAATGAATAAAGTATGGAATGCTAAATTTTTAGACAGAAGTAATTTTTCTTACTCTTTTCTTCTTTTTTGGCTCTTTATTGAATTTCACAGTATTTTGTCCTTTATTTAACATTGGGGAGATCTTTTTTGAGCTTTTTTTATATCATCCTAAGCAAATTTATTTATGTTTTTTATTTATTTATTCCTTCTCCTATCATCCATATACATTCTATTTAATAAAACTTACTGTTATTTATTTCTTTTTTTATTGTATTTGACATTGGAGCTTTACTGAACTTCACAGATCTTATTACATCCTTTATTTCAGATTGGGAAGATCATTTTTAAGCTCCTCAGTCAATTTATTTATATTTTTATTGTCCTTTCTCCTATTATCCATATGCATTCTATTTATTTTAACTTACTGTTATTTCATTATTTTTTATATTTATTCATTGTTTTATTTACCAGACTGTTTATTTTTCCAATTGAAACTTCATTCCACTCAGCCAATTTATTTATATATTGTTTCTAGTGTCACCGTTGGTTTTCTCAAAACTACTCAACTTAGTTACATGTTATTAAGCAGTAATTTTTTTTAGCATATTCAAACATAGCAAGCATATCATTGATTAACAATTTCATAAGTTGTAACGTGTGTGGTGATTAGTGACCGTTAATCGATATTTATTTAGAAATCGTGAGATGCGGTCTGGTGTGATGTAGGTTTCAGAAAAACATTTTCTTTATCGTGCCAACGTTTCGATCTTTATTGAGCCCTGAAGATGATCTCAATAAAGAAGAAACGTTGGCACGATAAAGAAAATGTTTTTCTGAAACCTACATCACACCAGACTGCATCTCACGATTTCTAAATAAATAAGTTGTAACATTGCAAGAAAAAAATGTATAGTATAATTTAACTCAACTAGATCCTCAAATTACAGGAAAAAAAATTGCAATACCTATAAATCTTGATTTGTTATTTTTTTTACCTATTCTGTATTGTTTGTATTCATAGTAATGTCATTTGTTCATTTTTTATCTACAAAGAAGAATTGAAGTTTCTTGGTTTATTTCAACCTTCCTTTCATTCAGGTTTTTGCTAATATTAGTCTGGGGAAGCTGGGTTAGCAATTTCTCTCTATTCTCTTTACTCTGCTAATTTTGTGTGTGTCATAAGTAGTCATTTAAGTGTAATGAATCACTAACAATGATCACTTTCCATTAAGAAGGGAAAGCATTATGCTGGGAGACTGGGAGTCACTCGAGATGAAAAAATTCAAGATGTTCCAGAATCACCAATCTCACATAGACAACAGTTTAAGTAAAATGCAAGCAATCTGGAAGCTCAGTGCAATCACTTCTGATATTCAGGGGATATCAGTTTTAGAGCATACTGTTAGAAGAGGACATAGTCGAACCTTAAATCAAGAAGGCCCGTTAAAGACCTCCTCACCATAGAACACCAAAGAGAGTGACTAAGATTTGCAAGAGACCTTAACCCAATCAAACATGTTTTGGACAATCTCAAATGAAAGGTTTGATCACAGGATCAACCTCCTACTACATTTGACATGCTAAGGGCTGCATAGGAAGAGTACTTACACCACAGGATATTCTACAAAAATGTTTTATGAATATGGTAAAAAGAATGGAAGCAGCCATTAGAGTCAGAGAAGACAAGAAATCTTATTAAATTAACATATAAATCCCTTTTAATATTTCCTGCTTTGATAATTTATTTTATTCAAACATATGTTCAATTTAAAAAAATTGTTTATTTTGTACAGCTGTGCCATTTTGATTTATGTAAATTATAAAACCAGATGTTTTTACTTACACACATTTCAGCGTGTTTACAATTTCTATGACAGGTATTGTATTTTGGGATCAGCGAAGGATGAATCAGGTTACTGCATTGCAAATTACGGCCAAAAACTGGAAAAGTTATTGTAAATAAAGTTAATCGATTTTTTAAATTAATTATCTAAATTTTCCACAAGTACCTAAAATATTTTTAAAATTCAAATAAATATATAAGACATTGTGTTAAATAGTAACTGGAAATTTGAATAAATTATGGAAAACAAATTTTCCTTGAGACCGTCCTCGGACCAATTTTCTCTACTGTTTTTTTAAAATATTTTTTTAATAAACTCCATAATTACCAATTTCCAGTTGAATTTTCAGTTTTCAGACCATTAATTAAGGTACATAAAATAGACAAAACCATGGTTATTATTTGGGAAAAACCTCTTTAACATTTTAACATTGTTTTTGAAAAAATAAATGTACACAAAACTATACACCAAATTTAATAATTAATTATTTTCCAGATGTAATTTCATATCCCAATAGGGATTCTGACAGAGTATTTTTGTTACTAAAAAATTGTTGCCTTTTTATTTCAATATATTTTTGACAATGTTTTTCCAGCTTCATTTAATTTAATTTTTGCAACTGTGATGCCACAAATATCCATTCTTTCTTGAGGTCATTAACATCAAGTAATAAAACAGAAGAGGATCTCCAAGATCATCAATAAGCCCAGAATCTACAATAAGTATAATAACATCAATCATAGACTCCATTGTCTTAGAATGGAACCACACAAAACAAAAGAAGAAATGGAGAAACTTAAGAGGCGGCAGATATAGCAAACTCATGATTAAAGAACCCTCATATAAACTGGCAAACATATTACTACAGTTAGATAGGGTAAAACTCAGAGGAATGATAGACCCCATTTGGGTTAGAATTTCTAGGAATCAACAAGCAGAAAAACTGACC